GCTCTATAATGGCTAAAACTAAATCAAATAAGTAAAAAAACCATCAAAAAGGCACAGACACAAGAGTTAATGTTTCAAAAACATTTATATAATTCTACATTTATTTTCATAATATAAAAATAATTTTAGGAAATATATTCTTCAATTTGTTCTTCTGTACCACACTACTGCATAGACAGTGTGTGTGTGTGTGTGTGTGTGTGTTTTGGCTTGTTTTAATTAGCATTAAAATCACTGTCTCATTTCTAGGAGTCTTTAAAAAGTGAATCTAGTCCTTCAGTTGTTTCAGAATAAGACAGGCTTAACCAGTAATTAGCTATTCATAACGAACAGAAAAGACAAAGCATATGCCTATACTTAATGGAAGTGAAAACGCTTCCTTATTAACTTAGAACTTCTATTGTGCTACAGAAAAAATTTTATTTATGCCCGCTCTTCTGTCGATTATCATGATAACCTGTTTGCTAGATCACATAATACTGACCTAGTGTATTATACTGACAGATACAAAGGGAAGAAGCACTAAGTTCTAAGTATTCTGAGTTCTGCAGCACAGAATTCTTCACTTTAGGCTGAGAATACAGTGTGAAAATTTAATGAACACTGGTTCCCCAATTTTCTGATGTACTCAATCTCTTCTGAACTAGTCTTCAATCATATATGCAACCATCAGCTTCAACCATAAGCTTCAGAAATATAATCAGTTAACTTTATTCCCAATACATCAGCAATGCCATGTAACCTACATTTTGAGCATATTTTCTTTCCATTTTCTAGAGTCATTCATTCCAATGACTCTAAATTACTGTATCCAAAGGATACAGTACTTCAGTAATTTTTGGTTGTTTAAGTGAATTCAGTAAGTTTTTTTTTTAATTTTTTTACTTTTACTTGTTGGATCTGAGATATGCAATATTTAGATCAATTAAGACACTGAAATTCTGTCTTTCCTTTTATAATTTAGCCCATGATCACAGCCTTACTTTCTACTAGATCCCTTCATTCCAGCCAAATGATTCTCAGCACTACTAAAACTTAGTACTCAAGCATTATATAAGAACTGAAGTACAGCAGTTACAAATAACGCACACGAAGAGTGCACATGTCATACCTCTGTGCCTTTGCGCCAGTCATTCCCTTTGCCTAGAAGATGACGTTTTCAGATAACGTGTGGCACAGTTTATAAAACAAGAGGTGATACTTTTCTTCGCAATCCCAATTTCCTATCCCAGAATTAATCATTTCCTTTAATATCCCTTCACAAAACATTATACAAAGTTACATGAGGACACTTTCTGTCTGTGTAGAGAGACCACTATAAAGAATGCTTTAGGCTGTAATATCTGTCATAAGCCTGCTAATGGCACAAGGCACAGAGGAACATAAAATAGAACTTCATTAAGTTAAATTCTGGATAATATTTTAAAAATAATATATTAAATGCTCATACAAGAAAATGTTTCAGAAATTAATATATTAATTTATTTATATAATTAATATATTCTGCTTTCACCTTTGGAAGCCTAAAATAACATCATTTGCTCAGGACTATTCACCCATTTTCCAAGTTTACTGAAAGAGATGCGCAACTCTTAGTTAAATGGCCATGGATGGTATTGGCACAGGCATGTTATGAATGCCTACTCCTGTACGTACTATGGCATGATACTACTGGCCAAATGGCTTTCTAAGGGAGGAGAAGGAGAGGGGGAGGGAGAGGGACACAGACCGACCTATGGAAATACGGGTTAAATTTCTTATACTTTACATAGTACCTCATAGGTTTACACAAATAGTTTTAGTCTTTATATCAAGACAATATTTTCAACTAAAAATTATTCCTAGAAAACACACTTTTCACAGAAACATCAGATAAACTGCATACCACAAATTCTCTACTATGACTACACTTTTGTCACCCATAATATATTCATAAATCAACTCAATTTGTGCCTAAAATGGTTAAAATATCCATTCAAATTAGCATGGGTTAATGAAGCAGATAATTTTAAAACTATATTTCAAATATGTTCAATTAAATGATTTCAAAATATATATAATAGGGGGTTTTTGTGTGCTAGGAATCGAACTCATGACCTCGTGCTTGCCAGGCAGGATGCTAAGCTGCATCTCTAGCATAAATAACAGTTTAGGTGTTATAAACTGATATATGGGCCCCAAAGATTTTAAAGTTAATCTGTCTTTAGATCTAAATTATTTCCATTTTTGCATTTTAGTAGTTTTTTCAAAGTTCTTCCTTTTAGTGGTTAGTATCCTATTTGCTTTAGCCTATAAGTAGAATTATATAGAGCTCCATTTTTACAAATAGTTAATCCTTTTCACTACAAGGAATAATTTCAATACTACTTCTCTCAGTTCTCTTTTACTGAGGGTTAGGTTAGGTTATACAGCATCATCCACACACACTCTAAACTTAGGCCCTGTTCTCCAATTTTCAAATATGCCTACTGTTAACATTTTCATATACGTTGCTTGGGGAAAATCTAAAAGTAATGTGGCTCATGTTATCAGTAGTGTTTCTGTTTAACTATGTATTTGACACACTTTTCAATGTCTGAACACACGTTAGTTTCCCCTCCATAATCTAATTTCATAGGTCATCAATCTTTTTTCTTACAGAGTAGAATCTTAGAAAAATTAAAAAGCAACTTGCTGTGAAATGACCATCCACAAGTGTTCAAGATTAGGGCATGTTTGGCTAAGGACTTTGGTTGTACTACTTCCTAGCTCTGTGACCTTGTAAAACTTAGTTTTACATGTATAAATTGGGATGCTATACTTGATATATGGGACTAATGTGAGTAAAATGTCTGAAGCAAAGTCTAGTATGTGATAATAAGTTTTTACCATGTCTTCCTTTATTCTGTCCTTTACTTTGTAATACAGTCTTCTCTTTCCCTTCTTCTTTCTTTTCTCCTCTTGGTAATCTTAACATGCAGCACCCAAACTGTGTATTTATACTACCACTATAATTATCAAGGGGGAAAATTTGAATCAGTCAAATATAACACACAAAGGGAAACAGTGTTCCTACATGAGTCAGAATTACCTTAGCATGAGAATTCATCATTCACCACTTGGCTATTAGTATTATAAAATACCAAATATCTGTTGGCCTGATATGTTCTTATGTTTTTTCTAACTAGGATTCTCCATCTGGGAAACAGATCTAAGACATACCTCAAAGGACGCCTTTTATTGCAAAAATAAAATGTGAAATGCTTAGGGAAAATGTCTGTCAAACAGAATACTGTGGGGTAAGTGACACTTCCTCAACAGTTCTGCCTCGCTTTCCAGAACACATTAAAGTAGTTGAGCACTTAAGAAAAAACAAAAACCAAGCCGACAGCTGCAATTTCATCCGTGGCTGTGAGTCTGGAATTCTGGTCTACGGTCTTCTCTGAAATGAAGCTTGATCAAGCTGAACATAATCAGGAGAGCTGGAAATAACATTTTTTCCATAAATGATTCTTGGCTATGATCTATGAAGCCAGGGGTAACAATTTTTCTGGAAATGAAAAACAGGGGTTCTAAACTATCTAATTACTGGTTAAATGTTTACTGAGAAAAAATATATATATTCTCAAGAGATACAGATCTTGAGTCTCTTACGACATAAGAGACTCATTTCTTTTTTTTCTGGCTTTTTTGTTTTTGGTACTGGCAATCGAACTCGGGACCTTGTGCTTGCCAGTCAGGCTATATCTTGCTGCTGAGCTATATCCCGGGCCCAAGAGACGCATTTCTTAATGATGAACAGGACCTACTCAATGTTTATTAATTTTCATAGAAATAAGAGGATGAAGATAAAATCACAACCTTACTTTGTTATTTCACAGAGACAGTTTAATGAGAGATTTATTAGAGAAAAAGAAAATTAAAAATAATAAAAATCACTGAATATAAAATAAGTCTAAAGCAAATAAGGTGTTGAAGAGAAGAGTCAACTCAATTTTTAGGTAAAAATACACATTTAATGAATAACTTTTGACATAAAACATTAAATCCAAATAACAGTATTAGAAAACTCTAAAAAGTAAAATCATATGAGTCTAATTTCCACATTTAAATTTGAAGATATAATAGAAGAAGCAATATAAATAATATCAACAAAGAATATATTAAGAAAATATAATTTCCAAGAAAAGAAGTTGAAACAGTACAGTAGAAAACATGACTGTTTTATTGCTGAATATTCTGTTTAAATTGAAAGGATCTAAGCAAAAATCTTTAAAAACAATCCTTTCATTTTGGCTTGACATGCAAAGTAGAATGTAAAAGCAATTCAGAAAAGATAAAACAAAACTTCAAGTGCAACCCTAGCTGAAACCTCACTGTTTGGAAAACTGTATCAGGAAAATTACACATTGCCACAAGTCTTCAAAAGCAACTTGGGGCTGAGAATTTAGCTCAGTGGCACAGCACTTGCCTGGCAAGCGCGAGGTCCTGAGTTTGATACCTGGTACCGGAACAAAACAAAACAAAAAAACACAAAACAACAACAACAACAACAAAGCAACTATTTCCAGTGAACAAAAACCTAAATACAAAGTATTTTTCTGTTAAATTAAAATATTGTTTCAGTAGATTCATATTTTATTACACAACCAAATTTTTAATATTTGTAGAATCTACTCATGAAACTCTTAATTTTATTTCTGCAAATTTACATAAGATTATAATATATAACATTTATATAGAAAAGTGTCCTGATATTACATATAGAAATTTATTGCTAAGGAAAATTTGTATGGTTGGAATTCCAACATTGCTATGTATAAAGCACAACAATTATTATGATATAGAACAAAGCAGGATATTTACATACAATTCCCATCAACTCACCGTTTAATTATATTTTAATCTTTTACATGAGACTTTAAACTTTATAGCAAAACTGCTATTAAACAGTAACAAAAATTCATATTTATTTCATTCCCTAAAACCCAAGAAGGAGGAGAATTTAAACATAAACTTACCCCATTTAACGGGTATGTCTTCCATCCCAGCTCTCCCAGTGCAATAGTTGTATCAAGCAACACAACTGGAAGTAAACAGATAAAATGTGCATGAATTACCAACTAAAAAATATGTTAACATTATTTACATCATTAATATCTACTATTAAAATCCACTATCATTAATATCCCCTTACTATTGAAAAATTTTTTCATATATATGAAATATTAGTGCATAATGCCAAAATTAAGTCATGATAAAATGCATGGTGATTAATTTTAAAAGCATTTAGGTTTAACAATGCTAAGTAAAATAAATAACTAAATAATAGAATTTAGTAACTATTTTAGCAGATTTTTAAAACTAGTATTAACTTTAAACTGAGGAAATACTCCACTTTGCTTATTTTCCCATTTTAAAATAGTCTTTTTATACTTTATTAACAAAAAAGCCACATTAGTTCTGCCTTCCTGACCAGCATGCAAGGCAGGCGAAACCTCCAGCACCCTCTGGAGTCTCCGTGGCTACCTGCCACACCCATAGTGTATCCCCCCAGGCTGGGCGAAAGGCTGGACATCTTCAGGAAGCTCGGTGAGTCTGGGCTCTGCCTGCCTGACCAGTCTGCAAAGCAGGGGAAACCTCAGGAACCCTCTGGGGCCTACGAGGCTCCCCGCCATACCCATAGTGTGTCTTCCAGGGCTGGGCCAATCCTTAGATAAATTTAGGAACCCAGTGAGCTACTCTGGGGCCTCCCCTACTAGGAGGTGAGGCATGCGGATCCCTGGACAACTTCTGGGGCCTTGGTGGTCACCGCCAGAACAACTCACACCCCTTGGTAGCTCAGCTGAAACCTGGACATAATCAGAGGCCTCAGGGAGTTCACCCTCACCCCTCCCCTTCCAGTGTGGGAAGCAGGCTCTGTCCTGGGCAATATCTGAAGCCTCCATGAACTCGATCTGCATCCCTCGATACTCTTGTGGAAGATGGGCTGAACCCCAGACAGTTTCAGGAATGCCAGCGAGCCTCCCCAGCCCTTCCCACACATTCCTGGGAGCCAGCTGAATGCAAGAAAGGTTGGGAGCATCTGGGACCCCACCTTGCCACCACTCACCAGCACAGGAGCTACACTGAGCACTGAGGATCTTCAGACTCTTGCCCTGATACTCACACACAATCAGAACAGTGAGACTGCACTACAGGGAGTCTCTGGTTCTTCAAAAACGACAAAACGAAGGAGCAAAATGCAATCCCAGACCTCCACATCACACAAAACAAGTCCAGGAGGCATCAACACAGAAGAGCCTGGAAGTCATACACCTGAAATTTCTGAAATGATAGCAACTGAAGTAAAGGAACAACTCTATCAGGCCACAGAAGGCATCAGATGGAAAATAATATCTCAGGTGAGAAAAGAAAGGACAACAATAATGAAAGAAATGTTCAGCATATCCAAAGATGACAGACAAGAAAATAGAAGAGCATAGACAACTCAGTGAAACCTTCAGGAAACAATACAGAAAAGAACTAGAAGGTATGAAACAGATGTAAACAGATATCCAGGAACTTAAAAATTCCATTGAAACCTTGCAAAACCTCCTGAACGAAGCTGAAGATAGACTTTCAGACCTTGTAGACAGCATTGCCACTAATGAACATGAAAGGAGGGATCTCCTAAAAACAACAAGGAACCAGGAAATAACAATTCAACAACTGCAAGACAAAGCCAAGCAAAACAATGTCAGATTAATAGGTATTAATGAAACAGCAAGTATCAACACAAATGACATAAAAAGACTATTTGCAGAAATAATAGCAGAAAATTTCCCAGGCATGGTAAAAGAATTGGACATCCAGATAAGTGAAGCATATAGAACTCCGGTTAATCATAACCAAAATAAATCTACCCCCAGACATATAGTGATCAAGATGCTGGAAACTCAACAAAAGCTCAGAATATTAAAAGCTGTTAGAGAAAAGAAACAGATCACCTATAAAGGAAAGCCTATCAGAATCACCACAGACTTCTCAACACAAACCATTAAGTCAAGAAAAGCATGAAGTGAAGTACTTCAGGCACTGAAAGAAAACAACTTCCAACCCAGATTGATGTAGCCTGCAAAGTTAACTTTCAAATTTAATGGGCAAATAAAATATTTTCATGATAAAGAACTGAAGAAATTCATAAGCACCAAACCAATCCTACAAAGAGTACTAAAAGATATACCAGAAAGAGATAAAACAGACCACCACTTCAAGAACAATGACAGAAAGGAACTAACAAGCAGAGCAAGCAAATAAACAGAGGGAAAAAGGAGGATCCAACAGCAGGAAAATAGCATGACAAAGATAAGCCAGTACATATCGGTTATAACCATCAATGTAAATGGTCTCCATGCACCAACCAAAACAAGCAGAGTTGCAGAGTGGATTAGGAAACAAAACTCAACTATATGCTGTATACAAGAAGCATATTTAACTCAAAAGGAAAATCAATGACTATTAAGGATGGAAAACAATACTCTATGCAACAGGAACCCAGAAAAAAGCAGGTGTAGCTATTCTGTTTGCAGACAGCATGACTTGAAACCAAGAACAAGCAAAAGAAATAAAGAAGGTTACTACATACTTGTGAAGGGGAAGCTTCAAGAGGAAGAGATAACAATCCTAAACATCTATGCACCAAATATAGGAGCACCTACCTGTATAAGACAAATTCTAACAAACATGAAAAAATGAAGTAAGTAGCAACACAATCATAACAGGGGACTTTAACACACCACTGACACAAAGAGATAGATCAACTAGACAAAAAATTGGGAAAGAAATAACAGAACTTAACCAAATGTGTAAACATATGGACTTAGTAGACCTTTACAGAGTGTTCCAACCAACAGCATCAGAATACACATTCTTCTTAGCTGCACATGGGACCTTCTATAAAATAGATCATATACTAGTACATAGAACATATAGATGCAAAGGAACTGAAATTATCCCATGTATACTATCAGACCATAGTGCAATGAAATTAGAAATTAATGACAAAAGAAAACAAAAAAATAACAAACAGTTGGAAATTAAATAACATTCCCCTGAATAACAAACAGGTCACAGATGAAATCAAAGTAGAGATTAAACACTATCTACAAACAAACAAAAATGGAGACACAACCTACAGGATCCTGTGAGATGCAATGAAAGCAGTCTTCACAGGGAAATTTATAGCCCTGAACTCCCATCTTAGGAAAACAGAACAAGCACAAATAAACAATCTTAAGCTGCACCTCAAGGTCCTAGAAAAAGAAGAGCAAGTCAAACCCAGAGCCCAAACAAGGTAGGAAATTATAAAGCTCAGAGCAGAAATTATCGCAATGGAAACTAAAAAAAAAATACAAAGAATTAATGAATCCAACAGTTGGTTCTTTGAAGGAAAAAATAAGATAGATAAACCCCTAGCCAACCTTATCAAAAGAAGGAAAGAAAATCCTGAAATAAATGCAATAAGGTATGAAAGGGGTGAAATCACTACAGATCCTGAAGAAACTCAGAAGAGATCATTAATACCTACTTTGAAAATCTTTACTCTCATAAGATGGAAAACACAGAGGAAATGGACAGATTTCTAGATACATATGAATTACCAAAGCTGAAGAAGATATAAAAGTCCAGAATAACTCAATATCAGCCAGTGAAATTGAGAATATAATTAAAAACTTGCCAGTGAAGAAAAGCCTGGGTCCGGATGGATTCACAGCTGAATTCCACAAGCAATTTAGGGAACATTTAACACCAATTCTTCTCAAACTCTTTAATGAAATTGAAAGGGAAGGAATTCTCCCCAATTCATTCCTGGAGGCAAGTATTATTTTGATACCAAAACCAGAGAAAGACCCAACCAAGAAAGAGAACTACAGACCAATCTCCTTATATTTATTAGGGAGAAAAATAAATACTAGCAAACAGACTACAAGTCATCAAGATGATTATACACCACAACCAAGTGGGATTCATACCAGGAAAGCAGGGATGGTTCAATATATGCAAATCAATTAATGTAATACACTATGTCAATAGAGCCAAAGACAAAGATCACATGATTATCTCCATCGATGCAGAAAAAGCCTTTGATAAAGTCCAACACTCACTCATGTTGAAAACTCTACAGAAAATAGGAATAGATGGCCTTTACCTCAAGCTGATCAAAGCCATCTATGATAAACCAACTGCTAACATCATACTAAATGGTCAAAAATTGAAGCTTTTACTTTAAAATCAGGAACAAGACAAGGATGTCCACTATCACCACTCCTACTGAATATACTTCTGGAAGTATTGGCTACAGCAATTAGACAAGAAAGAGAAATAAAAGGAATAAGGATAGGAAAGGAAGAAGTGAAATAACCATTATTTGCAGATGACATTATACTCTACACAGAAGACCGCAAAAACTGCACCAAAAGGCTCATGGATTTAATAACAAAATTCAGTAGCACAGCTGGATACAAAGTTAACACTCAAAAGTCAATAGTATTCCTGTACACGAGTAACAAACACACTGAGAGAGAAATTAGAGAAACCATACCTTTCACAACAGCATCTAAAAAGATGAAATACTTAGGAATCAATCTAACAAAAGAAATAAAAGATCTAAACAGTGAAAATTGTAGTACTCTGTAAAAAGACATTGAAGAGGATATCACAAAATGGAAAGATATTCCTTCCTCATGGATAGTAAGAACCAACATTGTGAAAATGGCCATACTCCCAGAATTGTTGTACAGATTCAATGCAATCCCAAGTAAAATACCATTAGTATACCTCACAGATCTATTGAAAAGACTCCTATAGTTCATCTGGAACCAGAAGAGGCCTAGAATAGCAAAAGCAGTCTTGGGAAACAAAGAAAAGGCAGGAGGCATCAAATTCCTGGCTTAAAATTATACTACAAAGCTACTGTGATAAAATCAGCATGGTACTGGCACAACAACAGACCTGAAGATCAATGCAACAGATTAGAAGATACAGATACTACTACAAACACACTCAGTCACCTTATCTTCAACAAAGGGGCCAAACATGTTCAATGG